TCGTTCAAAATTTCATTATTTCAACTTTGACAGCGAATTGCAAAAAAAATACGAGAGATATAATTATACTTATACACTGATTATATTCCCTATATATTTAGCTTCAATTCGCACCTTTATTATTAATAATAGCATTCTTTGTTATTGAGATATACACGAAAATATAAAACATTGCCTTTTCGCGCGTTCAAAATTTCATTATTTCAACTTTGACAGCGAATTGCAAGAAATCTACAAAAGATATAATTATACCTTAAAACTAATTATGTTCCCTATATATTTAGCTTCAATACGCATCTTTATTATTAATAATGGCATTCTTTGTTATGGAGATATACACGAAAATATAATACTTTGCCTTTTTCGCGCGTTCAAAATTTCATTATTTCATCTTTGACAGCGAATTGCAAGAAATCTACAAAATATACAATTATACCCTAAAACTCATTTTGTTCCCTATATATTTAGCTTCAATACGCACCTTTATTATGAATAATGGCATTCTTTGTTATTGAGATAAACACGAAAATATAAAACAATGCCTTTTCGTGCGTTCAAAATTTCATTATTTCAACTTTGATAGCGAATTGCAACAAATCTACAAAAGATGCAATTATACTCTAAAACTCATTTTGTTCCCTATATATTTAGCTTCAATACGCACCTTCATTATAAATAATGGCATTCTTTGTTCTTGAGAAATACACGAAAATATAAAACATTGCCTTTTCGCGCGTTCAAAATTTCATTATTTCAACTTTGACAGCGAATTGCAAGAAATCTACAAAAGATACAATTATACCCTAAAACTTATTTTATTCCCTATATATTTAGCTTCAATACGCACCTTTATTATGAATAATGACATTCTTTGTTATTGAGATATATACTAAAATAGAAAAAAGCGTTCAAAATTTCACTATTTCAACTTTGTCAGCGAATTGCAAGAAATCTACAAGAGATACAATTATATCTAATTATTCATTTTATTCCCCAATAATTTAACTTTTAATAAAAGCATTATTTGTTATTTAGAAATACACGGAAATATAAAATTTTGTGCAAGTAATGTAAAACAGACAAAAAGATGGTTACACCTCATGCGATTATAATTGGCTTCCTCACCAATTATTTCCGTTTTCGCTTAATTCCGTGTTAATTGTTCGGATGCAAAATGGTTTCCATGCACATTAAAAATGATTACGAACGGGAGAGTAATTAAGAAAACTGCTTGCTAACATTAATCCGAGCATTGTAATTTTCTGTAAAGCAACGAACACAAAAAAAAAGAAATAACTCTATGTTTATACGTGTTTGTGTGCGAGAGGATAATTTAATTGCGAAAATTACAGTATGTTAACAATAGTAGTTTTCCTACGCTGTGTAGAGAAGTCTGCAAACGACAGAGCAGATAGGATCGTTTGACAAAATGCGAAGCAACGTTTTTTTATCTTCCTCTTCATTCTTCCTCGTTCAGGTATTCATTACACGACGTTAATTCTAATTAAAAACTCATTTCGTTAATAAATTGTATATGAGATCGTCGTACCATTTCCTGATTTTTATTCCAATCCGAAAGAAAGAAAACGTAAGTAAAAAAAAATAAGTAAAACTTATAGATTAACAGCGAAATATCGCAATACCTCCTTCCTTCCTTCCACACTATTTATATATACGGACTGATTGCGGTCACGTCATGTTACGTTCCCATTATGTGCTTCCCATTTTGAAAGAAGAATTGTGTTCCCCTTGACGCATTAATTGTTTTTAATTGCAGCCATTTGATTTGCTAATCGCCAGTCTACTGTGTGTCATGCCTTAATGCATTCTTATTGTGTTTCGTTTCGTTTATTCCTCTCTTTCATCGTCCGCTCGCAGCAAAATGGCGGCAATTGTTTTCTCCTCACTTTGCGTAACGTCGGTTTTCTTTCATTTTCTTTCTTTCCTTCTTTATTATTCTCTTCCACACCCACCGATTTTTCATCACTTCCAACGCAACAAAAACACTCTATATTTATACACGCTAAAAACGTTCCAAAAACAAACCGTCTTCAACAATGGTAATTTTAGTTATGCATCATCACAACCGTATGTTTCTACATTATTTTTTTGTCAACAAAATCTCAAAATATATATATGAGAAATTTGCATTCCTTAACAAGTTTTTATTTACTAAAAGTTGAAAAAATGCGTATTTTCTCATAATAAATTAGTCTATATAGAAATAGTTAACAAAGTTCTACAGTTTTTGTTGTTATTTTCAAAGAATAATTAAAATTATTATAAACAAATTTATAAATACTTAACGAGTATTTCAATATATTGTTAACAAAATGTACAATTATAAATGAATCTAGTAATTAAACGCTATTTATAATAACAATGACATAATGTTAGCTATCAATTAAAAATACGTATGTATTATTTTTGAAATTCTAACAATAATTTCAATAATGGATTCATATAAATTTCTTTGAATTTGGGTGACGAATCAGAGCTTATTTGAACGTTAAAACGATACTTATTGGCTCACAAAAAACTGAGTTTCGATCACAAGATAAGAGAGTCATAAAAATTTAGTTGCAGCTGCGAATCGTATCGCAAAACGCTGAAAGTGGGATCGGCAATACGCATTTTTTTTTACGTTCTTTACAATTTTATTGGTTCTATCGTTCGAGCAAAACCATTGGTGTCTCATCACACATTTTTTTGTTCTTAACAAATCAAATTTTCTTTTATTCAAATTTAAACCAATCGAAAATGAACAATTTGTATATCGTGTAGCTTATATTAATATAAATACTTTATAAGAATAAGAAAATTGTAAACATTCTAATTATTAATAGTAATTATAAACAATTTTTTGTATTTACGGATTATTTAATTAATTAGTAGATTTTAATTCAAATAAGTAAAATGAAATAATATTTTTGTATTTTGATAAATAAAAGTTAGGTAATTATTTCAAAAATCACCTTATTTGGGCAAGAAAACGTCGCTCATCTGCGTCACGATGAATCACCTGCAGCTGCGCACGTTTAAACATTCCTTATTTGGGCACGAAAAGAGTGCATTTCGCACGCACGCTCGATAAGAAAGTAATAAAAATTAAGCAATTGTTTTAAAAAAATTGCCTTATATGGGCACGAAAACACGAATCGTCACGAAGAATCAGCTACAGCAGCAAATATGAAACGTTAAAACAGTGATTTTCAACTAGTATATTTTAAAATCTAATTAATTCAATTATAGTTAAAACAAGTTCACTTCTTTTTACTTAATAACATAATTATTACATATCTATTATACATTCACAATATTTCTCAATTATTTGTAAAAACGTAAAGAAATAAAAAAAAATGCTTACAATCAATATTATTTCTCCATAAAATTTAAATTATTGATTCTATTTTTAAACTCTTCTAATCTGACAATTTCCAGTTTGAAATCTTTTTTTTCTGTTGTTCAATAAATAAAAGTTAGGTAATTATTTCAAAAATCGCCTTATTTGGGCAAGAAAACGTTGTAAAGAAAAAAAATATGCTTACAATCAATATAATTTCTCCATAAAATTTCATCTAATAATTTAAGTGTTAACATTATTTATTAATTTACAAAACGTATTGATCTCATTTTTTTTATAAATTTATATTGTTGATTCTATTTTTAAACTTTTATAATCTGACAATTTTCAGCTTGAAATCTTTGTTTTTTTTTCCGTATTTTAATTGTAATTTCGATAGAGATCTGGACACATTTAACAACTGTCCTTTTCCTGGCATTAGAAATCGTGCTGCGTACTATAATTTTCGTCTTTTTTTTTCACGTGAAAAAAAAAATTTAATATAGAGATGTGTGTCAGTGGAATTATATCTATTAAATAATGATATTAATTATAAATTTCTGGCCGCATGCACCGAAAAAAAGGAACGTTTTAGTAATAGTAATGTTAGATATATAAAAAATAGAGAATTGGACTGATAAAGTCACAATGGAAGGCGATTATCCGTTGTGACAATGCGAGGACGATCATCCACCATGAATTCACAGCTTGTCACAGTCACGCAATCCTTTCGTATTTACAGCGAAATGGATGAGTGTGTGCACGAAAAAAGAGATGGAGGATAATAATACAACACAGCAGCAACAAACAAGGAGAAGTGAGCGTAGTGGGATGGTCGGAAGGAACAGTCATAACGGCAGTTATGTTATCCTTGCGATCTTCGCGTTGTTGACATCCGGATGATAATGCTTCCCGTTTTCCCAGAGTATATATACACTAATCCCACTAGTTGATGGTGTTTCGTTGCCAAAAAAAGAAAAGAATTGGTTGAAGGGCGTGAGCACAGGTGGCGGTCTCTCCTCCATTTATGTAATCGCCCTTGCGATGTTAATCTGCTAACGATCCGGGCCACTCTTTAACTATTCATTAAGTCGGTTTCATTGATTAATGATGCCACTAAAACGAACCTCGAGTATAAACAAACACTAACTGAATGTGTCTTTGCTTTTCTCTTTTATTTTTTTCATGTCCTCCGCTTACAATTCGTCCTGGCCTCGGATTCCATTTAATAGGGTGTAAGTATACTAATTTTATTTTTTATTCCTTCCTTGTTTTTTTTATTAAGAAACATTAAAGTTGTTGTTTTTAATTGCTCCTAAATTTCCTAAACAGATGGCTTATTTATTGCCACCACAAATTTGTACTTGTTCTTAACTCTTAGTTTATTCTTAAATTCCAATTGGTTTTAAGATTTGTGCTTAAACTTACTTAGTTACATTGAACATATTTGATACTGAAATTGCTTCATTTTCAAACAAATCCTACAATATTTTTCACTAAAAATCAATAGCGGTTTAATGTATTCTATGAAGTAGCCCAGTATCATTTCGCAAGTATGATTGTGCGAATATATTCGTCATAAGCATTACACCAAGACGAATATATACGACATAACCACTTAAGGTATTAAACCAAAATTATAAACTTATCCATTCTTCATTTTACAACAAAATTAACTTACAAATTAAAATTGAAAAACGTTAATATATATATTGAAATTATGTTTAGAAAAATCAACAATCTGATATAAATAATTGCATCAAAATATTAATTAAGATATTTTTTGTTGAGTTTATTTAATTATTATTTAAATTAATACACGTGTAATTTATCAAAGCAAAGTTTAAGGTATGTGGAAATGTTTAATGATATCTGGAAAAAAAAAATTGGGATGATTTCATTTAAAACGCGCTCTAAATTCCGTGTAACAATAAAGTTTAAGGTAATTTGAGTTGGTAGAGATGGTAGATAAGCTTTTGGTTCGAGCTGGACAAAAGGAACTTTACAAGGTTATATATAGATGTTATGTAGTAATTTAATGGCGCGATCCGGTCTCGAGGTGTGTGAAATGTGTTACCAAGAGATTGGCAGGTGTGAAGCACAGGTGAGGTGGCTAAGGTGACAGCACGTGGACCGCGATTCATATGTAAGTAAGGATAGCTAATTGAACAAAACGGCGGCAGCGACGGCGGCAATGGAAGCGGTGGAGACGGCTATCGAAGGATCGGCTCGCTCTCCCAGCTAATTGCCTCCGGCGAGTGCAGCTGAATCCGTTAATATGTTATCATCATCATTATGTAAATGCGTAGGGTATTCCCCATAGGTGTATCCGAACGGAAGATGCGCCAAGGACGGCGAGGAAACCTGGCGATGGTTCAAAAAAGAGCTTTTACATCAACAGACGCTGTTTATAAGCTATATTAAATTAACTATAAAAGTATCGTAAAAATTGTCCTATAAATTTCTTGTTGTCCAGAAAATTTATAGGACAATTTTTAGAAGAAACAAAATATATATATCATTATGTAAAAGATGCACAACAAATCTAAGTGAAATTAGTCTTATGGTTAAAAAATTAGAATAATTTTACAATATTTTTCTATGAATTATATGTTGCTAATGCATTACATAAGAGTAGAATTTTCAAAATTATTCAACTAAATAAGTTTTTTATAAGATTTAAATTAATAAAACAATAAGAAAAAACAAAACTTTCAAAAATTTAGTTTAAAATCAATAAATTAATTATTTAATTAAATTTACTTGAAAAACAATACAAATTTCATTGTGTGGAAAATCAAATAAAATTAATGATAATTTACAAGAAATATTCAATTTTGTAAACATTCAAAATTGAATTGGAAATATTTTAGTTTTTTTTTTTTTGCATTTATTCAAATATTTTTATAATTTGTAACTATAATTGGACTAATTTTACAAATAACTTAAGTATAAAGTCTTGAAAACAATCTGAATTGTAACTATATACAGTTCGTAAGTCGAATTTGATCGTAAGTCGGGGGAATTTTAAAAATTTCAAGTTATCAATTTTTGGTATTTATTTTTATTATATCTTCTTTTAGAATTTTGTTCATAAGTCCGTTAATTCGTAAGTCGAGGGATATTTAACATCACAAGTTTTGAGTGAAAATTCTTTTATTACAAATCAGTTATGAATGAAACTTTTTAACAATTCAATTAATGCTTTTATACTAATAAATCAATCATCATTACATAAGAGTAGAATTTTCTAAATTATTCAACTAAATAAGTTTTTTTAGAAGATTTTAATTAATAAAGCAATAAGAAAAAAGAAAACTTTCAAAAATTTAGTTTAAAATCAATAAATTAATTATTTAATTAAATTTACTTAAGAAACAATACAAATTTCATTCATAGATTTAAAGTTACAAAGATTTTACAGTGTGTTTTGCAAAATCAAATAAAGTTAATGATAATTTAAAAGAAATATTGAATTTTGAATGTTTAATTGGAAATATTTTATTTTTTTTTGCATTTTTTTAAATATTTGTTTGATTTGTGACTATAATTTGACTAATTTTACAAATAACTTAAGTAAAAAAGTGTTGAAAACACACAAATCCAAAAAAACTACCAATTGCTTTTTAATTAATAAATCAAATGAAAAACAATCTGAATTGTAACTATCTACAGTTCGTAAGTCGAATTTGATCGTAAGTCGGGGGAATTTTATTCAAATTATCAATTTTTGATAACTATTTTTTAAGTTAGAACTTTTATAATTTTGTTCATAAGTCCGGGCGTTCGTAAGTCGAGGGATACCTATATTTAACATCAAAAAAGTTTTGAGTGAAAATTCTGAAAAAAAGACAAAAATCTTTTATTACAAATCAGTTATGAATGAAACTTTTTAACAATTCAATTAATGCTTTTATACTAATAAATCAATCATAAAAGAAAGTAGACTTCTTAACTATAATAGTCTGAATAGTTTGCAGTCATCAAAACAAAGATTTTTTTCTGGTAGATGATTGTTACAAACGAACTGTTGAATAATGTGTGTTGTAAGCATTCGTTCGTCGCATTCGCGATTCGGGAATTAATTTAAATTTATTTCCTTATATCGCCTTTGTAATATTTTCCGGCGCAAGAAGCAATATGTTTCTCCCCGTTATCTTTCTCTCTCCTTCTCTCACACTCCTGTCGTGACAACGTCCAGCGGTTAAGTATGCGCGATAAAACATAAAAATGAATTATTCCAGCCTTTTTCAGTTTATGGTGAAGCCGGTGCTGCGTTTACTCCGCTCTTTTCGTTTCTTTCTTTCTTTCCTCCGCATATCGGCGAGGACTCGGCTCTTCCTCTTCTCTCACTCCAGGATTGTCTCAGGCATTAATAAAAAAAAGCACATGCTAAGGCATTTTATCGTTAACTAGATTAAAACAAATTTATAGTTCTTCGCGGCCGTATATAATAAGAATACAGACAAACAAACAACACCAAAGAATAACCGAATAAAACCAAAAGGAAAATAAAATAAGGATTGTTTTTTTTTCTTTCTCTCGGTCGCATCCGCAGGACTTTAGTATTTCGATACACCGTTTGGGGATCTTCTACTAAGCTTCCAATTACTCGCCCGCTTCAGGCTAAAGTAAATGAGCAACGTGTTTCGCATTTTCAAAGTTAAAGTTCAAAGTATCAACCTTTCTCTAACTTCATAAATTACCTAATAATTAGCCTAACAAACTAGACAAGTCACTTGGCAAGTATCAACGTAGCAAGTATATACTTTAAAAATTACCTATTTCTTTGCCTCACGTGCATAAATCGTCTTATATTTATTAATTATGATCTAAATTTAGAGTCTAATGTTGAGTAAACTAAATTTTCAATAAATTTTTCTTTGTTGTAACTTTATTTGTTATAGATGTATCGTATTGATACACAAATCTGTTCGTGTATTAAATGAAAACTAAGTAGTTTATCGTACATCTCGTAAAAGGGATTAACAGTAATTATGTGCATGTGATATCTGGCGACGATGGGAACAAAAGAAGAAGAAAAAAAAAGTAAATGTTGCGGGGCGCGATGGTTGTGCGCGACTAAATTGAAATTGTCATCATGCAGAGATCTGATAAGGGAGCAGCTTTTAGGGGGGGCTGCAGTCCCCGAGGGGGGGCACGGACCCCGCGGGGAGCCCTAAAACAAACAGCGTGCCCCCTGCATTATGGCTCTCGCCATAACGGATTTCCTACTGGGCACTTCAGCTCTCTCACTCTCTCTTTCGCTCTCTCCTCGTGGAACCTCAACTGTTGTGTTTTATATGCCTGTTCACTTTTCGCCTACGTAAAGTGATTTATCAAAAAGAACGAACACAACGTAAAAAAACAACAACGACGACTACGACGAAGTAACAAACTGGGAGAGAAAGAGAGGGCTCCGAACTTTCCTTGCTAAAATGAGTCGAGGCCAAACGTTTAACATATACCAAAAATTACATTCGTTTACATACAACTTCTTAACTGTAGGAAAATTGTTAAGTTTTTTCTTTGTTGTCTTCAGTTTCGAATCCAATTTTTGCAAAACTAATTGTAAAAGTGAAGTTAAAAATTCTCATATTGAAATTTACTAAATGTACAAAAACATTGAAGAAATTAGAAATATAACTGCGCAAAGAAATATATAAAAATATATGTCGTTACATAAGTGAAAACTCTGACTGAAACTTATCTTAATTCAGATACAAATCAAAACGGAAATGCAAGTATAAATACACAAGGAAATAAAGAAAAATATAAGCTTTCTTAGAAATGTATACTTTTTTAACTATTTGTTAAAATTATCATATAAAATTAGAGTCTAAAGTTTAGAATGTTAACTAAAATTTTTAATTGGTTTTTCTTTGTTACAGGTATTCTTTTTTTGTTATTTTTACTAACTGTACAAGTCTTTATTTAAAAAAAGAATATTGTCTAAAAGTCTTATTAATTCAAAGAAATATAGAGAAGAAATTAGAAATTGAAATGCACAAAGATATATATATATAAAAATATTTATTGTTATATAATTGAAAACATCTTAACTCAGATACAAATAAAGACGGAAATGCATATATTAATACACAAAGAAATGAAGAGAAATATAAGCTTTCTTAGAAATGTATACATTTTTAACTATTTGTTAAAATTATCACATAAATTTAGAGTCTAAAGTTTAGTTTGTTTCTTTGTTAGAGCCATTTTTGTACTTTTTTTTGTAATTTTTACTAAATGTACAAGTCTTTATTTAAAAAAGAACATTGACTAAAAGTCTTATTAATTCAAAGAAATATAGAGAAGAAATTAGAAATTGAAATGCACAAAGATATAAATAAAAAAATAAGCTTCATTAGAAATGTATACATCTTTAACTATTTGTTAAAATTATCACATAAATTTAGAGTCTAAAGTTTAGACTGTTGACTAAACTAAATTTTTAATTGGTTTTTCTTTGTTACAGGTTTTTTTGTAATTTTTACTAAATGTACAAGTCTTTATTTAAAAAAAGAACATTGACTAAAAGTCTTATTAATTCAAAGAAATATAGAGAAGAAATTAGAAATTGAAATGCACAAAGATATATATAAAAATATTTGTCGTTACATAATTGAAAACATCTTAATTCAGATACAAATAAAGACGGAAATTCAAATATTAATACGCAAAGAAATAAAGAAGAAAATATAAGCTTTCTTAGAAATGTATACATTTTTAACTATTTGTTAAAATTATCATATAAATTTAGAGTCTAAAGTTTAAAGTTGACTAAATAAATTTTTAATTGGTTTTTCTTTGTTACAGGATTTTTGTATTTTTTTTGTAATTTTTACTAAATGTTCAAATTTTACTTAAAAAAAACTTGACCAAAAGTCTTATTAATTCAAAATATAGAGAAGGAATTAGAATAAATCAAGGACTAAATAAAGACAGAAATGCAAATATTAATACGCAATGAATTAAAGAAAAATGAAAAGTGTTTTTTTAGTAATGTATAATTTTGATTACAATTTGTTACAAATGTACACTAGAAATGTATTAATAGTATTATTCGATCAAACAAGTAGGAGGCGTGTGTTTTCCAGTCATTTAATGCAAGCAAGTTGTTGTTGCTGCGAAGGCACGTAAACAACAGGCGAAAGGGGGAGTACGAGCAGACAAATTAGAAGTATTGTGAGCGTAATTGGAATACAAATGAAGTTATAATGGGTATATGAAGTTGTAAGAATCTCCATACGCATTGTAATTTACGAGATTGCGATGTGAAAAGATTACGTCTTGTATTAACAAAATAGTACAAATTGCAGTAATCATTCAGAGAGTAATTAGAGCTCCCCTCGCTCACCTTCCCCAAACAACCGCTTTTTTTTGCATACATTTCTATATATATAGATATTTGTATGTGCATATAGAAATATATGCACCTGCGTGCGAAAAAAATGCGTCTTATGTAAATGTTATTGCGGCGGTGTTAAGAAAATGAAGAAGAAAAAAAAATAAGTTGAACGGAAGAATGAATGAGCCATATATGCATATGCATAGAGCGATTTGCCGCTATTGTTTGCCATCATCCAGATTTGATAGCTGAGCAAATGATGGACAGATTTCGTAGATTATCTACGACTCTTGGATAATAAGAGTTTTGCGTTGGAAATCCATTAAATATTTTATCCTCCTTTGTTGCGTTTCACTTCCCGTCTACCGACTTTATCTTTATTTGTAATCGTATTCCCCATATAATTGTATATTATTATAATACATTAATTTATATTCTCGCATTTATTTATATCTATGTGTGTTTTTCTTTTCTTTTTATGTTTCCTCTTCATCCGCGCCGCCGATTTTCAAAACCAAAATCCAACGGATTCTCAGTATGTAAGTGTTTAATTGTTGTTAATGGAATTGCGCGATTGTTATTATTTTGTGGGTTTCTTTTGCAGACTGTGCTTCATTGGGGCTCGAAACACGGAAGCGAGAAGATCATCAGGATGTTCGCTGGCAAATACAAGGCTGATGTCAACGCGAGAACGGTTTGTAGCTTGGAATCGTCGTGTGACTTTAACTGTAATCTAATATATTTGTGTTTGGTTTCATGTTGGCGCTTCTCTACAGAATGGGGTGAGTCGAGTTTCTTCTTTGTCGGTATTAATGAATTGTAGCGCGGACTTTGATGCTTGTCCGAGATTGCTTGTGACGGTTAGGTGGCATTGTTGGAATAGCGCACGATGAGATGACTTCATATATATATGACTTCAGTGAAGTGAAGGGAAACGACGTTTGCGTTGTGTATTCGTCACGTGTAAAGTTGCTAAAGTCCGGTAGCTGCGGTGGTTGAAATGAAGGGTTGTGCAGGGCCGCGCGGATGCCGTGCATTCCACGATGAGATAGAGCATCTAAGATGCAACCGCAAATGCCACTGATAAACTCCCATGTTTATGACGTTTACATTTGTGGACCCTTGCGGCTACCTTTATTAATGTCCTTAACGCAAGACCAAAAAAGAAATACAACACAGATATGGGAATTATGTTCCCATATTTGTAAATACCCGGAGATGCTACTTTCGATAACGGGGAAAGAAAGAATACGAAAAGGAAAGAAGGAACGAAACCGATCTTGAATTACGTCACACAGATTAAATACCAATTTACAGCATCTAAATTACGTTCCTCTGTCTATACCAGTGGTTTCCAAACTTGACGAAAACAATTTAATCACCTAAATGCAATTATTTATTGCAGTGGTTTCCAAACTTCATGTTAACACGCCTCCCTCAAAAGTATGTAATCATTGGCGCCTTCCCAACCCCCTCCATTTCATAAAAGGAACGCGTATTACACCAATATGGATAAGAGCAC